AATTCATATAAAAGGCGCTCTGGATTATAAGGGGCGCAGTTGATTTGATGAAATTAAAGGCTTTTAAGTGCCCCTATAGTGCGGAAGATTTACTTTATTTTATTTAATGAGACAGGGACAGCGCACAGTTTTTACATTAACCTTAACAGGAGAGATGCATTGTATCAGGTTGTAGCAACATACTGTAACTGCTCCCATTTACCTTTAGTTCAGCAGAGATCAGCAATTCCAGGGCTGAAATCATCCAAATGATTCTAGTGAAGGTGTGTGGAGCACTTCCTGTATGACATCACACGGTGTGGTTTTAGGAGTGTTTTTAGTTTGGGAGAAGAACTCAGCCTAAATATACAGGGTTTGTGAGTTAAACATGCGTGAATGAAACAAAACACAACTTCAATTCTGTTTGTGATGAGGAAACAACAAGTAATAAATCCATCAACCAACAAAATGTGACATTTAATGAAACTTCTTACCGGTAACTCAATACGATCTGGTAATTTCTCGTAACTATGAATCACACGGACATTAACATTTTCCTTGGGTCTATTAAATAACAATTAGTCAGTTCTTCCTCGGTAGTGTCAGCTGTGTGCGGATGACTCTGTGCGGTCCAAGTCTCATTAGCGTGCCCCTGCCATCACAACAACTTCAAGCAATATGGTGTTCATTAGCTTCTGTTAACATTAGCCACATGCTCGTGCTGATTTAAATAGTGTTGTACGAGCGGAGGCACATACCAGAGCACGTACTGTAAATGACTCACTTGACCTTTTTGCTAATGCTACAGTGTGCGCGGAAATGTGTTCTCTGAGATGTACACGAGTTCAGATGAGTAGTTCTTTGTACTGTTTAAGAGCAGTTCTGTTCACAGTATGGCGATAAATGTGATAAAATGAAAAATGTAAATGTATTTCTAGTAGCAGTGGGGTAAAATAATCTAATTTATTACGGGCTTTGTAATCGCAAAACAATGTCTTACTCATTTACTCTTTTACTTCCTGAAGCCTGTTGTTTGTTGGAGTTTGGGCTGCAGACGCCTCTCGTTTGTACTCGGACCAGAACTGCTCATGCCAACAGCTCCAGCGGTTTCTGTGCTCGCTGTGACATGTTTTGCATTTAAATGGTGTTGTAGGGTGAAAGTGCTTCTGTGATGTGCAAACTGGTTTAGACCTGGTTTAGTCCTGGTTTAGACCTGGTTAAGTCCTGGCTTAGACCTGGTTCAGTCTTGGTTTAGTCCTGGTTTAGACCTGGTTTAGACCTGATTAAGTCCTGGTTTAGTCCTGGTTTAGTCCTGGTTAAGTCTTGGTTTAGACCTGGTTCAGTCCTGGTTTAGTCCTGGTTTAAACCTGGTTAAATCCTTTTTTAGACCTGGTTTAGACCTGGTTTAGTCCTGGTTTAGATCTGGTTTACACCTGATTTACTCCTGGTTTAGACCAGGTTAAGTCCTGGTTTAGACCTGGTTCAGTCTTGGTTTAGTCCTGGTTTAGTCCTGGTTTAGACCAGGTTAAGTCCTGGTTTAGTCCTGGTGTAGTCCTGGTTTAGTCCTGGTGTTCCTGGTTTAGTCCTGGCGATCAGCTCTGGGGTTGCGGCGTGTATATTTATAATCCACTAATGACACGGCGTAAGTTCAGTCCTGGTTTAGACCTGGAGGTGCTTCTGTGATGTGCAAACTCTTCTCTGCACAGTTTGCAATAAACAACGCTTTTTTAAAGAGAAATTTACCATCCAGCACACCCAGAGCTGTTTCATATCACGCTCATGGATTGTTGTAGTCTGAACAGTGTGCGTCAGTATAATTGGCGTACCACGACATAGGGCATTGACAAATGTTCCACATTGTTTCGCATTTATAATTATATTTATTCGTAATTAACGTGTGAATGTCCCACCCCTAATTTCTAGTGTTTACCCTGCGTTCGATTATCATTCCGAATCTTTTTTTCCCGGAAGTTGCCTAACGACACGCGTGACACGCCCCTTTTCCTGGAATGGTGCGAGTCAAACCCCAGTGGCGAAAAAAGTTGACCAAGCAAGGATTCTGAGTCAGAATCCAACATGACTGCGCCCACTGTGACGTGTAAATATGAAGTGTTTTCATTGTGTTTGGACACTTTGGTGGTTTAAATGATAATTTCAGTCACTCGTATCACTGCAGAACTTTACTGTGTCCGTATCACTGCTTATGGGTGTGGGAGTCGGTGTTGTGGTGAGGCCAACATTGAACAAATAGTTCATTTAATGCGTGTTAATGTCCCTAAGGTTGTAACGGAAGAGAAATCATAACATAAAATGAAGTGCAAATTTAAAAAAATAGATGAAGTGGCAGCGTTTTCATAAGATGAGGGAATAGTCATAATCATAATCCACGTAGTCCGACATGCCAAACATAATAATACGCTTCTCGGACGTGATGCCTAATCTGAGGTCCAAGTGGGGGTCGGAAGATAATCGAACGCAGGGTTAGTATTAAAGTAGAGCACAATTTTACATTTTGTTTATTAGAAATTGTTGATTTAAAGCTACCATCTGCAACTCTTTCTTTTTTTACCTGTAAATCACATGACCTATTGCCCCTCAAATCAAATCAGACTTTATTTATAGAGCACTTTTCATACAAAACTGCAACACAAAGCGCTCCCTTCACCTGGGCCCTCCCTCCTTCCTCACCTGGCCTTTGTTCAGACTCACCTGTGCTCTCGGCTCTTCTTCTGTCAGGCCAAAGCTGGAGCGATCAGACTGCAGTAAAGTACACGACATCTAGTGGTGGTATGTGAGAAGGCAACAGGGGCGGTGCAGCCAGTCTAATTATGGATGGTAGCTTTAAAGGACTTTAAAAAACTTTTATATTTTTGCAAAATGGTTACTTGGCGATGGTATGGGATAGGTGATAGGTGAAAACTGTAATTTTCTGAGAACTCAAAGCCTCAAATGCATGGCAATACTGCATACATGAATCTACAAAAATACAACTGTGAGTACACTAACGATGAGCGATATTGTGACTTGGATAAAAACATATAAAAGTACATTTAAACTTCCAGCTACATTATATGATGGACTTTCAGTTTTCCTCGCAGTACATAGGGTGAATACATAAGCTGTTACATGATGCTGTCTTCGGCCTCTGCTTTCTCTAAATATGAGCGTGTCTAAATGCCGTGGGTGTGTTTCTTTCCTTCACCTCCGTGCATACAGCTCCAGAGATGTGTCCCAGCTCCCACACTCACCCACAGCCAAATTTACTGCTTTTAGATGGACGTGTGGGGATTGGCTTCTCCTGATAGCTGCCATGTTAGCTGTGTTTTTAAAGGACACACATTATGCCAAATTTGGACTTTTTGGAGCTTTTAACCATGTTATATTATATTGGAGTTGTATTTTGTTTCATTCACACTTGTTCCATTAATTCAAAGTTGTCTGTGCTCTGTTTACATTTTGACAGTTTTGTTGTGTCACAGGTAAAGGTCTGAACACCATTTTTAAAGAGGTTGTATCAGAGTCCTGCACCAAGTCAGGTACCCAAAGAATACCTACAAATAGTTGCTGAAACAGGCCGGTATTAACATTCTGGAATTTTACGAGCAGGTACGCGGGTGGGTAGTGATTACACACGGGCGGGTCAGGTAAATCAAATGAATGACAAATGGGAGAAAAATACGTGACACATGTCCAGGGCCCTGGAAACAAGTGCCATTTCCCGGTCTTTTCCCGGAACGATGGCAGACCAGGTTGAGAGAGTGACTTTAGTGTTTTTATTACATAAAACCATCAGTGGAAGTGATTGGCTTGGTGGCTCCTGGTTTAGTCCTGGTTTAGACCTGGTTTAGACCTGGTTAAGTCCTGGATAAATCCTGGTTTAGACCTGGTTTAATCCTGGTTCAGTCCTGGTTTAGACCTGGTTAAGTCCTGGTTCAGTCCTCTGTTTAGTCCTGTTTTAGTTCTGGTTAAGTCCTGGTTAAGTCCTGGTTTAGACCTGGTTTAGTCCTGGTTTAGACCTGGTTTAGACCTGATTAAGTCCTGGTTTAGTCCTGGATAAGTCCTGGTTTAGACCTGGTTTAATCCTGGTTCAGTCCTGGTTTAGACCTGGTTTAGTTCTGGTTAAGTCCTGGTTTAGTTCTGGTTAAGTCCTGGTTTAGACCTGGTTTAGTCCTGGTTTAGACCTGGTTTAGATCTGGTTAAGTCCTGGTTTAGTCCTGGATAAGTCCTGGTTTAGACGTGGTTTAATCCTGGTTCAGTCCTGGTTTAGACCTGGTTAAGTCCTGGTTCAGTCCTCTGTTTAGTCCTGGTTTAGTTCTGGTTAAGTCCTGGTTTAGACCTGGTTCAGTCCTGGTTTAGACATGGTTAAGTCCTGGTTAAGTCCAGGTTTAGAGCTGGTTTAGTCCTGTTTCCATCCTGGTTCATTCTTGGTTCAGTCCTGGTTTACTCCTGGTTTAGACCTGGTTAAGTCCTTGTTCAGTCCTGGTTTAGTCCTTGTTTAGACCTGGTTAATTCCTGGTTTAGACCTGGTTTAGTCCTGGACTATTGGACTGTAGGACTAATGGCCTGACCCCAGTTTATCACGGGTACAGGCGGGTAACAGGTTCAATGTTAACGGGTCCAGGAGGGTGCGGATTTAACTTTGATATAATCATGGGTTAACGGGTGGGTGCGGTGCTGTACTGTGTCAGTGCGGACAAGTGCGGGTCTCCAAAAATGAACCCTTGCAGGACTCTGGGTTATATTGTGCAAAAAAGCTTTTTTCATCCATGCATGTTTGAGTAATTTAGCGATCTCTCCCGGGCCTTATTCAAACCCTCCTTTACAGTTATCTGTACAAAAGCATGATGCAAAACAATAGACTACAACTTCACAAACCTGATACAATGTGCGGTAGTTTCATGCAGATGTGTAATGCGCTCTGAAGGGGGGTGACTTAGCGCAGAGAGTAAAAGGAGGGAAACATACATTTTCAGTAAAAGGTACCATGGTGATCTGAATATGTTTCTTGTTTTCTCTCCCAGCTCTCTAAAGTCCCGCGTGAAGATCATGGTGGACGGGACCCTGCTCATCTCCAGGCTGCTCCCGGAGGATTCTGGGACGTACACGTGTATGCCCACCAACGGCCTCCTGACCCCGCCCACTGCCTCTGCGAACCTCACCGTGATGCGTAGGTGTCTCCATAGCCTCGTGTTGTTTCGGGGTATTAGATCAGTGGTTCTTAGACATTTCTCACATTCGTTGAAGAGGGGGTATTATGCAGCATTGATTTTTTGAGTTTTCTGCCGTGTTACAATGCCGATCCCTCGTCAAGAACATGCCTGAAGAGGTTTTAGGTGTCATCCATACAAGTTTCAGTAATTGATCGATGTCTCCCAGGCCGTATTTGAACCCTCTGTACAGTTAGCAGTGTGTCACCCATGCTCCCATGCAACAATGTACAAAAGCATAATCCAAAACTGTATGCAGTAACTTGACAAACCTATCAATAAAATCAATAACATGGAGAATATAGCATTTTCAAAACTATAAAAGTGAATATATGGTACGTGTTAGCAGTTATTACCCCACAGAAGTAAAATAGGCGCTCTTTTGCAGGACTATCAATGGGTGGTTGCCATAGTAATTAACGATTCAAAACAAAATAGTATATCTGAGAAATGCTCAAAGCAGTAGTGTGCGGCAACTTTTATGCGTAGGCAAGCAGATTTGGGGTGTACATTGATATTTAACCAGTAACAATTTAATAAAACCAGTATTTATACATACTACATTGCAAATATATTTATTTCTTTATTTTACTGACATATTAAATGCATACAGACTGAGCTATTAAATGGTATACAGAGTCAAAATAGAGAGACCTAGACCTACATAGTTTATTAATATTTGTATATTGGACTGTATTTGACTAGCCTGATTCATCACTTCGTGGAAACCGTCTGACCTTCATTAGGATTCGTTCGCTTGACAGTAGGCGGGTACTTTTTTAATTTAACCAATCACTGCTATTTGGTCGTGACATATGTAATGCACCAAATCAAGTAGGAAAAAGGGCAATAACATCTCTCCCCTTGATAAAATTCACCAAACATTCTCTTTGTTCCTTTAAATATTCGATCTCGGGAATCGTTGACAATACAGAATACAGAATGTATGTCTTCGTCTACATCCATCTTGACCTATTTGTTTACTGTTGTGCTGTGCCACAAAAGGGACCCTGTCATGGATTCACAGCTCATCACTGATTGGCCGGTGCACGTTCTACAACTTTCGGGGTTCTTGCAAACTGGCCTGGCTAATATTTGACGCCCTCTTTGTACAAACAGGATTATTTGTGGTCAGTTTGTTTTTTCACAATTTGTCCTTTTCCTACACCTTATTTATCCAGCTATTGATGTCTATGTTATTATTATTATTATTATTATTATTATTATGCATCTAGAAACCATATGAATAACATATGACAGCTCTACACAAAATGCACATTCATGAAGATCACGAAACAATACTAACAACAACAGTGCACTGGTCAGACAAGTGCACTTATAATACAAACTCACTTATAATACAAACTCACTCATAATACAAACTCACTTATAATACAAACTCACTTATAATACAAACTCACTTACAATACAAACTCACTTATAATACAAACTCACTTATAATACAAACTCACTTATAATACAAACTCACTTACAATACAAACTCATTTATAGTATAAACTCACTTATAATACAGACACACTTGTAAAATAAACTCACTTATAATACAGCCCGATGTGTCACGTCCCGTCATGTCAGAAAAGCGCATTCTCTCACTCACCTGCCTCTCACTGATGCAAAACTACATATTTCCTGAAGAAACGTCTTGTATTTCCCTGAAGCGGAGTAGATCCAGAACAGAAACATGTTCCTCCACACATGTGTAATGGTGCTGTTATTCCACCATGTTTCAAACAGACAGAAGAAAACGGGATTATCTGCATATAATTCAAAACTATTTAATTTTACTTTTGACACAGGATGATTTTAGATTTTATTGGTCAACCACTGCTTGCCTTGATTGTCCTGACCGCACGTCACCGGCTCAAAGTGTTACCTATAAACAGGAAGCTGAAACCCATGAATACCAGGTAAATCGAGTCTTGGGCTGCATTCTCGCTTTTCAGGAACTAAACCTGAAATGAACCAGGGCTTGGACTTGGACAAGACCAGAACACAGCCATGTCTACACCATGATTACATTGTTGTTGTTTCCACCGTGTCCTGGTGAAGAGGTTGCGGGTTAAATTGCGTTGGCTCAGTCGTTCGCCCTCAAGCACCCTCGTGAGCCGCTGTTTTCAGATATAGTCTACCTGCGATCCGGGTAAGCACTTCCCGAATCCTATTTACAAGAAATTCAAAGTCAATTTCAATACTAAGTGAAAGACTGGATATTCTACACCAGGGGTTCCCCGAGATAAACACGCAATCAACTCAAGACCCCCGCAGTGAAAGGAAATTGACGGGAGTGATCATTTTAAGAAGCAAAACATGTGAAATCTGAATGAATGATGTTATCGGGCCCACTTTCTCCAACGTTTTCATGTAAAGAACAGATTAAATGTAATGCTGTCAAAAGATAAAAAAAAAAAAAAAAAGAGAGAGATTAATTCATTGTAATCTGTAATTAATTAATCTAATTAATCTATTTTTTAATCTCACCTAAAAATTGCTGAGAAAAGCCCAGTCCGGCAAACTAAATACGAGTGTAAAGTAAAATATACAAATGATGACTGTAAGCGTATCATGCATCATTTGTCTTGGATATTTTTTTTTTTGGCATTAATAAAAACATTTTAAGCAGCCTAAACTAACGGATGTGGTCTAACCTCGCACACATTTTAGGCAATTCCTTTCCGCTTCTCCATGTTTGATAGTGCTTAAGAAAGCGAATGTCCCCTTTAGGGATGGGCATTCGATGAAATTTTATTAATCGATCGTCGGGAGAATTAACGATGGATGTTCGATTAACATTTTTATATAATAAGTATCAGCATTAGTATTACTATTACTAATCTGCATAAATAAACTCAACTTTACAACATATAAACCATCACCACTCTAGAGCCACATCAGCCCATTTGACATTATAATGTGTTTAATGCAGCTTTGCTCAACTCTCACAGAAACGAAACTTAAAACATGCATGGCTCATTTGCATAAACTAAGCAGAGGAAAAAAAAAAATTTTAAAATGCTCTTGTGCACTGATGCGGTTCAGCTTCTGTCGGACTAAAGGACACGACTCAGTGGAACATGAGTGTTCTTTCTGTGACGAGGGATGTTCTGCTGATGGTGAGTCTGTTCTGTGTGTGTGTCGTGCCATGTTTTCAGAGCTCATAAATGTGCTGGTTTGTCGCAGATTTAGGCCAGAACGGGAATGAAAATTACAATTCTTTGAGGGACAGACATCAGATTTTATAATAAGGCAACTCGCATACTGAAACAGTGAAGTTAGAGATTATAAATGAGATTAAAGCGATTAAAAAACATAACACGCTAAATATGACTGGAATTAATGAATCACAATTAACGCGATAATTTGACACCCCTAATTAAATTCATTGTTATTAAAATTACATCTTGAAATCATTACCAATAATAGAAATTTTTTAGACAGTAATTACTAATTCATTACAAAATAACATTATCAGATCAAAGTCTGTGTTAAAGGTGCACTGCGTAACTTTTCAGACTGGAGGTCTGCTACTATGGAGATGCTATTGCTTTGCCTGTAATATTCCACAATATGGTATTAATGAATTACAATTAGCTGCATGTATTCAATTATGGATGTTTTTATTTCTCAAAAATACCTTTAAAAACATGCACTCTTACTGTGAGTTGAGTAGCCTCTTCATAGATCTTACCTGTACATTGGCCTGGTGGAGTCTCCTGCTTGTTTGATTGGAGACGAGCTGGTTTTGACGTTCTGGAATTTTATGGGCAGGTATGCGGGCAGGTAGTAATAACACACGGGCGGGTCAGGACTAAACCAGGACTACAACAGAACTAATCATGGACATAAGAGAGAGGGAGAACCCCCGAGCCTGTGGAGCAGGGTGTCCGCAAAGCGCGATCGGGACTTCGTGTGGCTTGGAGCACTGCACCGGTCATTTTGCCTGCGGTCACCCAACGGTCTACACGGGCACACCTTCAGCTTGTCCAAACAGTGAGTCCTGGTTCAGTCCTGGAATCAATCCTAGGTTAGTCCTGGTTTAGTCCTGGTTCAGTCCTGGTTCAGTCCGTGGCGTGTGCGGCGCAAAAGTCCGGCATCTCGATCAATGTTTCTTCTGCTCAGGAAATAAAGCCTGTGAAGTGATGACAGTCGAGTTGCATCTGTGAAATTGTATTCGTACTGGAGAAAGTGTAACCGTTTCATTTAATTTCGTGATTGTAATTCTTGAAGTCGTAACTTTTCAGTTCGTATTCTGAAGGATGCTTCAGTTAGAATACTTTTAATTTGTGTGTGATGTATCACGGGCACGGGCGGGTAACGGGTTGAATGTTAACAGGTCCGGGCAGGTGTGGGTTTAACTTTGATACAATCACAGGTTAAGGTGCGGGTGCAGTGCTGTACTGCGCGGGCGTGGGTGGGTGCAGGTCTCCAAAAATTGACCCGTGCAGGACTCTGCTCTGTAATACTTGAGGTAAAGCAACAACATCTCCATGTAGACAAGTAACTGCTCGAGTGCTTGACCAGAAAAGTTACACAGTGCATGTTTAATTCATCTATATTTTTATTATTTGGAGTGATTCGTGCATGTTTGAGTGATCTTCAAGACGTCATTTACACGCCCACTGCTCGGTATTTACTTCTTTCTCCAAGATTTGGCAGGATCATGCAGACATTTTGGTACAAATGATAAAAAATATCTCTCTAGTGATCTGCAGCTATCCATAAAAGAGAGAAGTCATTTTAAAGCTATACTGCAATTCAAAATGTCCAAATTAAACATCAAGTTCTATAAGTGTTATAGATTATAACTCTATAACAGACACAAGAACAATAAGTCTGCTTTAAACTGCTAAGAAAAGTTTTTTTGTTTTTCGTGACATATATTTGTTCAAAGAGCACATATTACACTATTTTCTGATCTATGCTATAATATTCTTCATCACAA